AGAAGAGATCTATAGCATCGGAATACACACGACTATGATGATGATGAATGCTGCTCGCTATACCGGACTTCAAAAACAAATCTCTGTACGAATCTCCCATCCACACAAAAGACTTAGATCCGAAGAGCAGACCCGAAAACAAGAGCCGCGACGGCTGCAACACCGGCGGAGACGAAGGACGGCGACATCGCACCAGATCCAGAAACTGGGCTCGGCGCCGGAGCTTCAGACTGAGCCGAAGCGACGGTTGCGACGACGGAGATGATCATCGCCATGAGAGCAACAATGGAAGCAGACTTAGAGACGGCCATTTCTGAGATTTGAAGAGTGAGAGAGAGAAAGAGAATCTAGGGTTTTTAGTTGATTCGAATTTGCTTAAGCTTAAGGGTTTTCAGATTTAATAGAAATGATGTGAAGAAGGGTATATAAAGAGGTAGGAGAAAACCGGTTTCACCTAACCGGATATTTCCTGCTTTTGGAATCCTGCAATTACACAGCTGGTCCGGTTGCATGGTCATAATAATCGACGGTTGATATTACTCCACGTAATCACTGAGATTTCGACAGTTCATCTCTCCGTTATGGCGCCGTTTATTAGATATTTATGCGGAACAGATTACGTCTTGTTTGAAAACGCGCATCAAAGCGCGTGTATCTACTTCGCGGATCGAGAAAGGCATAACGGTCGGTTAGATTAGTTGTTGAAGCGCGTGGAGAATGATGATGAGCTGTCCATTTTTTGAGTGAGTCACGCGGTTCCGTGACGGAAACGGCCAAAAGATGTCGCCAGGACTTGGTATTATTTGTTGGGTTGTGGGGACCACGTATTGCACATGGGTCGTGTAACGGCTAAATATGCTTTAAAGAGCTTTTGAAAATTAATTTGAAGAATTTAAAGGTAGTCCTTAATTTGTCTGAAGAAATGTGTTGAATTTTGTTTGTTTTCATTACTTTTTTAATTAAAAGGGAATTCAAAACTTGGTGTATAATTAATTCTGTTTTTGTTTGGTAAACAACAACTATGTTTGTTCTTTTTCAATAATTTAAAACAACGGAATTACTTCTTTTTTTCCCAATTAATATTATGAATTATAGGAAATGGTGGAGATACTGAAAACCAAAAATGACAACTAGTGATTAACCTAACATGTGTTTAGAGCTTAGTGCATACTCCACTTTGTTTTATTTTATTGATTGGTATATTAAAAACAGCTTTCTTTTGCTAAACTAAAACACCAGAGA